GAGGGAACAGTGTAAACTGGGAAGGGAAGTCACATGTGTGGATATGACTGATACAGATTTTGTTCTAACTTGTGAATTCTAAGTTGTGGTGGAGAGTGACAGGAAGGACAGAGCAGCAAGTCCCATGGAAAGCAATAGATTTGTGTCTTTGTGCGAGCTGACTTGGCCCTGAGGGTGTGGTCTGTATGTCAGGCCAGAGGGAGGGCGAGTGGGATGAGGTCCACTCTGTCACAGCAGTGACATCAGCAGGTAAGAGTTAAGAAGACACCAAGACTGTATTTCGTGAGCTAAGTGTCAATAATACACCTGAATGAAAATTTACAAGTTATGATCAGAAACTACAAAAAAATTTAAATGGAAACGTCAGAGTAAAAAAAAAATTCAATGGAAATTATCCAATTTGTATAACATAGAAGGGGAAAAAGTTTCAAAGATCTGTAACACAACATTAAAGAGTTTACCACAGGTGTTTCAGAAGAAGAAAAGAGACTGATGCAGGGAAAATATTTTCACAAATAATGAACAAAACATTCTAGATTTAGTGTGAAAAAACCCCACACATTTAGGGAATTAAGCAGCTCAGAGAACCCAAATAGGATAAATTCAAATAAAACAAGTCTTTGTACATCATAAGCAACTTAAAGAAAACCAAGTATTTTAAAAAGAACAGGTTGAAGACTATCAGACATATATATATGGATGCAATGGTAGGTGCAAGCATGTTTCTTACTGTGCAGGGTTTTTCAAGAGAATCAGAGATTATACAGAGAGATTATACAAGTTACAAATGGGTGATAATAAAGTGTAAGGGAATCTACATAAATGTAAGGCTTCTACATTTTGCTTAAAATGCTCAAGTATTACCTGCAAGTGGATTATGAAAAGTTTGGCGTATACATTGGAAAGCTCGGGGCAACCATCAAAACATATGAAAAGAAAAAAGCCAAATAGCAGATCAATTAAATATTAAAAAAATATTCTAAATTGTCGGGAGGGCTGAACGTACTAATAAAATAATTAAATTTAAAGAACAGTTTCCTGAGGCAAGCAGTTTTCTTAAAACTATCCCACACAGCTGATATTAACTTTTTGAAATTGCTTCTCTGGATGTGCAAGTTACAGATCTGACTTCAGTCATGTAAGTGTTTCATAGCTCTCCATGTTACATGTCAGAGAGAAAGAATCAATAGTATAGACAGAGACTATATTACTGCATTCATTTTAAAATTATGATGCCTTCATTTTTTCTATTTCATTTTTGAAAGTTAGACTCACAGTGATACTTCTGTCTTTTCAATCAAAAGATACCACACTGATGACACTTTCTCTTTAGAATTCTGAAGTGGGAGTTTGCTCCACTTTACCAGTCCCTTTCCCGCCATTCTCAAGAATGTTAATATCGCAGTCATTCACATTTCTCTCTGCTTTTCAAAAGATTTATTTATTTATCTGAAAGAATTAGAGAGGGACACACACACACACACACACACACACACAGAGAAATCTTCCATGCATAGGTTCACTCCCCAGATATCCAGTTCTGGTCCAGGCCAAGACAGGAGCCAAGAACTTCTTTCCAGTCTCCCATGTGGATGGCAGCGGCCCAAACTTGGAACAACTTGGGTTGCTTTTTCCTTAGCCATTCAGCAGGGAGCTGGATCATAAACGGAACAGTCACAACACAAACTGTTTGACTGTTTCATGATATTTAATGGCATTTACGTACTTAACACACTGGGTTAAGTCTTCTGTGTTCACTACACATCTCTCACATCTACAAAGGTACATGTGAGAGGTTGCAACTGTTCACTAAGCTCTTTCCCCTCAATACTCCACTGAAGTAGCAAAGAAAAGTTGCATTTTTAAAACAAATCAAAATAAATGTTAACCTGATCTGATGGTGCTTACAGATGGAAAGACCCTATAGCCAAAGCAATGACTCTACATATTTTTGGAAATGAATTTCTAATTACAGAATAAAATTTTAGAACTAAATGGACCTTGTTGATAATTATTATAATCATCAAATTGTATAATTAAGGAAACAGATGACCTGAATAAAACTGTATGGCTGAGATCACTGTGCACATAGATGACAGGGCCAGTGGCAAAATTCTAAGCTCTCTACTAGTTTGGTACTCTTTCTTCCAAATAATAACAACAGCTAAAGCAACAGCAGACATTTATGATGGGCTACTGGTTGCCAGGCTCATTGTTAAGTGCTTGGAATTATTCATGCATTCTTTTCATTTTCTCAAATACACTACAAAATTAACACTCATAAGTGACATAGCTAGAATTTGAACCCAGTTTTGTCATACTGTCACAAGAGGCTGCACTGTCTAGCTACATCATGAAAACACTGAACCTACACACACAAATTCACCAGATAAAACCTACAGAGGAAACCTTACGCATGGTCCGGAATAGGACAATGGAGGGTCATTGTTAGAAAAAGAGATCCACCTTTCTCCCCAGTCCAAAGAAGTGAGGTTTACTGCTAGTGCTGTGACCTTGGGCCAGTTACTTCTCTGAGCTCTAGTTTCCTAGCGTTTGCATCTGTAAGATGGACTGTAACGTGTCCCCCGACCCCCATAGACTTGTTAACCCGATGAAATGAGACAATGCATTTAAAGCAGTTAGTACAATGCTTGGGAGGGAGTTCTCCAGAAAGGAAAGCTGCATTTTTTAAAAATGTCATTATATTTTAACTTGTTGCTTTTTTAGTTCTCTGAAAAATTCTCACATAACTACTTTCATTTCTAAGAAACATGTTCATGTACAGCTACTATAATTGCATAAGGCAAGTGTCCTAATAGATACATTAAGGAGAGGCATCTACAATAACATTATCCACAGCATATTCCCCACAAGTAGTGCAAGCTGTTTTCCTCCAAACATATCCTCCTACTAAATTAGCACACAACCTTCACTCTAGTTTCACTTACTGAAATGGGGTTCCACACTGGTTCGTACACATAGTTCTTTATATATATTATTCTTATTGAATATAATTCATGTGTATGATGAGCCTTGTTATAACTGAAATATAATGCATAAATCTTGCTGAAGACAGACTTAGGAGAAAATGCTTAATTACACGATCTGGGACTACATCAACAAAAATGCACTGAAGCAGATCTACTCTTACAATTTAGGAAGTTAAAAACAAATCCATAATCTGCAGTTCTCTTTTATTACTATGGGTCCTTGCTTGCCTCACTCCACAGCGATTCCAAGGCTGAGGAAATATACAGGGTATGTTGTGGTTGGGCTTGAAGAAAGTAAAAATGAGTCCTCTGTGATCACCACATACCTATAAAAACACATTTGTGAAGAGGTCATAGCTGTTCATGTAAGACCCTCTTCCCTCATTTCCTCTGCCTATTCTAATATTTTGCAGTAAAGACCCCTGAAGCCACCCATTTATAAATTGACTTCAGCTGGGTGAACTTAATTATGGCTTAAGGATTTACAAAGAATTAAGAATCACTTTTCAAGTCTTGTATCCTGTTTTGGTCACTGGTAAGCAGATTCTTAACAGGTATGTGGGCACAAGTCCCTGAATGATCTAATGGCTAATTCTATTAGCCCAGCACCATCCCACCATCTCCAGTGTCCTTGAAAGACCTATTACACTGTAAGGCACTCAGTAAATGAGTGCAGTTAGAGGAAGGCTGGTCGAGGTTTCTGGTAAATGTTTAACAACTAGCTCTCACAACGGGAGAAACAACTGAGAGCATTTAGCAACATACGTGGAGTAAACACTCTCACCATGGTCAATTTAGCTACCAGCACTTTAACAACTGTCTTGCAAAGTTTCTTGAAGTCTTTCAAGCCAGTGCCAGTCAGTTCCAGCATACCACTTGCCAGTAAGCAGTATGGGGTGGGTAACCCCCAGTGACTGCTCACTAGCAACTGGCCAGTTACCCACTGCTAAAGCAGCAGATCTATATTAAAGTCTTGGCAAGAGCCTGAAGTTACTTCTTTTTTTGGCCTGAATCCTGATTTTACACCTGCCACCTACTCCCTAGAAGTCTACTGCATAAAATGGTTCATCTTAATGCTAAGATTGAAACCCAGCCTTCCCGGTAAGACCAACTCTCCAATGCCGCACTGATGACTTCTGGCTGCTAGGTGGGACCACCTGGTAGTCATAAAATGATGGTATTACATTTGAGCTTGCTAAGGCCCTCTTCCAATACTGAGTCTTTGGTGACCCAGCTACCATCTCCAGTCTTTGCAATCAAATCTTCAATTCTACGTTAACTCAGGACAAAGGTTTCCTATACCTTCTTTCACCCTGTTTCTATTGTGCCTTATTAACAGACTGAAATTTGAAGCCCTGCTTACTGTCCTAGTTTCGAGAGGCAACAAGCTTCATAAATTCCACATAATTAGTATACTGCAGAATTATGCTATAACCTGGTTAAAAGGCAGGCATGGAGAGGAGAACCAGAACCAGGGAGCCAACACTGTTAACAGTTTCAGCGTGGATGTATAAACACCTTCAAATAATCTTAATGTTTCAGTAGGACTTCCCAGTTGCATTTTTTCTTCTGCTGAGCAAGAGTAGATCAAAAGAAAAGAAAAATCATGAGCATCACCTATGGTTTATCCTACAAAAAAAAATCTGAACAGTGGCACTAATTTGGAAAGCATATTTCTGGGCCATTATATGGAAAAAAAAAGTATACTTCCCATACATTGGAAATTGTTAAGTTTCTTTAGAGCCAAGAAAGAGTCCCTCTTCCACTTAACTCCGGAACAAAAGTGAATATTTAGAGGAACTGTAAAAACACTAAGGCTGAATAAACCACAGTACATTCCAAAAACTTACTTAAACACGATTCAGCTAGGGAACATAAACTTTACATATGCCATACAGAACGTCTCATTTGGTTTGTCATCTGCTTTATGTTTCATCACTTGTGGAACCATGAGAATAAAGCGCATGATGTGGTGGCAATGACAACTGCTGTGGGTCTGAAGGTACTTACCTGTACATTTGTAATCAGAGGCTACCCCTTTCAGGACAGCATCAAAAATGGAAATTTCCACCCGCTGCTTTCTGTGGTGACAACTCAGAAGCAAGGAAGGCTGGGACACGATAAAGTACAGGAAAGGCTCCAGCTGTAAGTCACCAGTTCCTCTTCGCCCAGGCTGCCGGACAATGGTTATGCCAAGTGCTTGTCTAGCAGATGATCTTGTGGATGCATGGAGACTTTCGAGAGAGAGGACACCTACTTTTTTCCCTGATGGAAAAGGAATGCTGCTGCTCAAGAGATCTTCTGCTGTCACCATGGAGATACACGCCTGGCTGGGCTTGCCAACCTCAGATTCAACTGCTGGCAGATCTAATGAGCCCTTGCCTATTTTCTCATCCTCCTTTTGTTCTGGTGATTTGGATTTGGGCAATGCCACACAGGAATAGGTCATCAGTGAGATGCGACTTGCAGTGATAAATATGTCAAAGGGAATAAAATTTAGATTTTTGACAATTGACGACTGGCGTGAGGGACGGGCGAGGCGGTGCTGACTGGCCCCACTGTGTTGCTCTATTTGTACTATCCTGATTTTAACGCTGTCACTGCCAATTCCACTGTCCTGGGCACCACTGTACCGAGACGAGGTATCAGCCATGCCTCCATCGAATGGATCCATTTTTTTCTGTTCTTGTTTAGAGATCTGTAAGGAAAAACAACAAGATATTTTGAACTTATTACATGCCAGATGTTTTATATATATATAATATATATACACATATAATATATATATAACATTGATATGTACACACTTTGTTAAAAAAGGGGATTTAAAAATGGGTCTAGTAGAAGTTTTAACAGAGTAATCACAAAAACAAAGAAAGTGCCATTCAAAAAAGAATTCACTTTAAAAACGCTAAATACTGGAAAAAAAGTATGACAAGTCCATTTCCTCCGAGAAAATAACACTATGCCAGATTTTCTCTCTTTCTTTTTTGGGCATTACTACAAGTAGCATCTATTTTTAAAATCATCTCTTTAAAAACTACTTTAGTTAATATACTGTACAGTGATGTTTTTAAGTAGTGCAAATTATTTCTGAATCATGATTTTGGTTGGTTGAAAAAAATAGTTTATATAGGAGTTTATATTATGTTTGATGTTACTTATAAAAGTAACAGATTTCTGTATAGTAAGAGAGGGGAAAGTCAGTAATCCTCAGTAACACAGCACAATGAAAAGTGAACTGAAATAAATGCATGTCATTGAAAAAGATGTTTGTAATTCTCTACCACAATAGAAAATTGTGGTCTTGGAAAATAATGGCAAATGTAAGTGATCAAGTAAATCAAGCCAGGAATGAAGTAAGCAATTAAACACTTTTGAAGGGAATTTTTTTGTTGTTGTTGTTTTGCTCTTCTGCATTTCCTACCAACTTTTCCTGAAGCAGAGAACAAAGACTTGCTCAGGTTGTATTGGCAGCAAGACTGAGACCTTTAGGCCTTCCTCTTGTATCTCCCAACCAACAGCCTGCTTTATGCATTAACTCTTTCAATGAAATAATAGAAAATGAAAATAATCATGGAAAACCCACAGGAATACAGAAGAAAACTCAAAATCTGCCCCATCTTATCACCAAAGGCAAAGAATGGTGATATCAAAGTGAGTGCACTTTATGTCTTATTTTCCACAACCATGCATAAGTTCCCCATAGCCACATGTCTTTGTGTTATAATCACATGGAGACACATTTGTAGCCTAACATTTTGATATAATAAATGTGGTCTTTATAAATATATAATTCTAAAAACCACTCAATATTTTGCTGTTAGGAACAATTTGCTCAACCCTTTCCATACAGCTGCAAACTCAAATTTTCACCTTTTTGTCAACAAATATCAATGCTAAAAATCTGGTAGTATTTCCTTAGGACAGGATCCTCAAAGTATAATTACAGGTGTGAAAAAACTGACATTTGCTGTACACGGTCACACACCTTTCTTTAAAAAAAGGCTGTGCTGATTTACATTGCTCCCAGGAATGGAAACATATCCCCAAAGTACTAATATAACATTTTTAGAATTTTCATTAATTTAACAAAAGAAATCGAATTCCCACATGCTAAAAAATCTGTATAAGCTGCTTGTCTAGGTTTCCTGGTCCAAATGCAAAGAACAAGTAATCAAGAGAATGATTTTTCAAATATTTATTAGTAATTAATGTTAATGTTATAGAAGACGACTCATTGTTAGAAAATCCCAACATTAGCTATTTGAAAGAAAAACAACTTATCCCTTTTCTTTGAAGACACTACGCTCTAAAGGAGTCTGTCTGTACCATGCTCTCTCCCTCCTGGAGCCCTCGGGGTTGGCTGTGGCTGGCTGTAGTCATCCAAGATGATCAACCTTTGCTTGACAATTGCTCTCTCCCTCTTCTTCTTGATGATCTTGTACTTCATTCAGATTTCTATCACAGGATATTAAATAATCTACACAAACGCTCTAATGAGATGGTATCAGACAGCACTAAAGCAATACGTAGGTTTGGTCTTCACACACGGGAAGCATAGGATTCAAGGGCAACACTAATTGTGTGACTTTGGCCAAATTACAAACCATTCTAAGACTAATCTTATCTGTAAATGGGGAGAATAAATCCTTAGCGGGTAACTAAGAGGATTCAATGAGCTGGTACAACAGTTAGCACCACTTGTACGCAGTCAGCTCAGTGCTTGACATACAAAACCCTTCAACAATAGGAAGTTAGCATGTGTCTTTACCAGGTGGAAAAGTGTTATAGGGAATGGGCAATTTCATTCTGCTTCTATGTATCACTAAAGGGCAGAGTACTGAACGACCTCAATAAATGTTGGATGACATGTTTGTTTCATTCATTTCTGACACAATCATAAGTAAAAATGATAATAATAATGTGCCCACTGACTAGAATTGCATGATCTTTAAGATATACATGTATGTACATGCATGTACATGAAGACAGTACTGAATTATCTGGTGTTGTTCCAAGATACATTCATGGAGTCCTTACACCTGCATCCTCTACCTGGGGGCTGGCCACACTTCAAACAAGTCACTTCATCTTTGCTAGATTCTCATTGTTATTGGAGATTAATATCTAAGCCATACAATTGCTGCAGCGTTAAATCTGCTAATGTAGAGAATACACACACACACTGCACTAAATAAAAGGTTAAAGAAATCACCTTGTCTGTGAAGAGTTATGCAATCTTTCCAGATGTTAGTCTTTCCTTCCTCCATGCTTTTAAAACAAGCAAATACTATCACAGTACTTTTCATACAGCATTATCAGAACTGAAGAAAAAGTGTGACAGCACTATGTTCACTGCTATTGATGTGTACATTTGCTATGTGTTGTAACATTTCTTTGAGAAGATGTTTTATCCCATTTTACAGCTGAGGCTTAAAGACATTAATCCAAATATCCAAGGTCAGGCAAAAAGTAGGCTGTAGGTAAAAGGCGGTATTTCCATAACATACTATACTGTTTGCTAGATAGTAAAACTTCATTACTGAGTATGGACAGAATAAAGGAATAAAAAATTTCAACATCAATAAAATGAAAATAAAGCTAACCTATCAATATAATGGCTTACTTTCAAGGCTTTTACTTCTATTAGGAAATTTTCATGTCCAGATCAATGACGAATTTTCAAATAAATGCAAAATAGTAGTTAATGTCAAATATCTACCTTAGCTAATCCAGGACACACTACAAACATATGAGGCATTATACATATTTGCATATAGTTTAAGCAAAATGTTCTTTAGGTTGGGTTTGACAGCAAAATCAAAACAAGAATTAGAGTTTTGTGAACTATTTTAACTTCCTCAATCAGGAAAGTCAATTACAAATAAATCCAGGAGACTTTAATTTCTATGCTTAGGGCATTTTCTTGTTTTGATTTTCAGATTTTCAGATTTGAAACCGAGTCTCTCTTGCTATAAGGTAAATTAAACATTCTCATAGGTGTTCTCACATCACCTGTAGGAAAAAATTTTTTAAAAAATTTGAGTGTCTAGCCTAATTATGTGTTAAGTTTCTCACCTTAGATTTCAGTGAATGTTAAGTGGTGTGATCTTGATATACAAATATATGGGCAGGAGCAGGCTGACAGCTATCAGCTGGGGTCACCCAGGTCACTGAACAGAAGTCAGATGCTAACTAATCCTAGTTACTACCGAGCACAATGGAATTTGAACCACTGACCCATAGGTGAAAAAATCTGACTTGGATTGGGAGGGGGAAAGGAGTGCAACTTTCTCAGTAGCAGGAAGCTCACATTTTGAAACTGTACTCAAGAGCCAGTGTTCTCACCATTTTTCTAAGTCGCCAAGCTGTTTGTAGTTCTGAAATAAATAAGCTGAGGAGTGTGAGACACGTGTAAAAACTCACTGGTTTGTCACTCGTCTATTGCAGATTTATCTGCTTTGCTGAAGGTTATCTGGATCCCTACTGAAAATTTTTTTTTACTGTCATTTGCATGTGCTGACCCTAAATTTGGGCATCAATTTACCATTTCTTTGCAGAAAACTGAAAAGTTCAGAGTGTTATGACTCTAAAAATAACTTGTTTTATTATTGTCCAAGGAGACTACTAGCTTAAGTTGTCAAACAAGGATATATGTGCTTGCTGTTAGGGAGGGCAGCAGGAACACACATCCTTGGGCAGTTCTGTTACATCAGCTCTCCCACTCTTTACCTAACTTATTTAAAATGAACAATAAAAGTTTTCTTTAATTAGCTACTGGTGTGCATTAACATGATCATGATTAAACCATAAAAACCAACTATACATTACTTTGGTCCCCCGTTCCATATGTTTTGAATTATTCTGTTTGAAAATGTACTTTGCGTCCCTTTTAAAAGTTCGACCTTCTGCTTTCAGAGAATTAAATGCATATTACTGTAGTGAAGAAGATAATGTTTCAGACCTCCAGGCATATATTAAACACACTGGCAGCACTTGAGACAAAATGCTTTACTTATTAGATACTTCCTATTCTAAACAGTGTCATCAAAGGCTAAAAACAAAATCCATATAAAAGCTGCACAATGCTTCCACACAGAACCTGTGCCAAAATCCCTGTACTTTCCAGCTAATGAGGAAAGGATGTGTACTTTTAACATATGAATGTAAGATTTTCCAAGCATTCACTTTAGGAAACCGGGCTATTGATTCCATATGGGTTATGTTAAATGAAACTGTATTGGTAAAATAACCTTTAAGATATCTGGCATGATAACAATAATTAAACACTATTCAAAAGACTAAAACAAAAGGGAATTTGGTTTCACAATGGCTAATTAAAATAGAATGAAAAAAACACAGCATCCCATCTATCGAGATAAATTGTTATTGTTTAAGAACTATTTAAATACTGTTAAAACATACTTTTAGATAAAATCTGAAAGAACTGGAAAATATTTGTGGCTGAAAAACGAATAGTTTGCTAAAGAAAAAAGTCTAGGTCTCTGAAATTTTATGCGGAGATAACGGCTTCAAGGCTTTGAGCACAACCAGATGGTACTAAACCGGAGGAATTCTACAGTCTTACTATCAGTGGGTTTCAATGGGAGAAGCTTTTCAGTAGAAGGAAAATAAGTCAGGTTGATAGTTTACTTCTTAGATCATTTCAGCGCATTTTCTCTTCCTTTCACAGCT